CGACTCAGCGCACAGTCAAAACATTTATCGATTTTTTCTGTATGTTTAAATTTTACGGTAGACTCGTGTGCATACATAAACTGTTTCTGCTACTCTTCTGTGAGTATGTATCTGATGATGAATCCGCGACAGATTTCGAAACGTCAGGCGAATAAACATATTGTCCCAGCGATCGAGTCGTCTTCTACTTCTCAGGTACCTGCTGGGACTCGTATGTTCGCTTGTATTAACAGAGCATACTATATCCGCCCTTTTCGGTCTCTCCAAATAAACAGCATAACCTTGCTCAGAGTAATACTCTGCATTTGCGGTGAATTCGATGGCTGCCCAGACGTTTTCCCCAGCTATTTCTTTTAAAATTGTCTGCCCTCTGTCCCACTCAAGATTCAATGCAAAAATGAACCTCTCGAAAGCAATATTTCATGCGTATGTTTACGTTTTTCGATTTAATTTTTATAATTTTTTTTCATTTTTCAAATGCATGCAAACGTTTGTCAATAGTGGACTTATCAACTAATAATACCAATGATAGTGCTTTGACGCTATCGCACGGATCCTGATCAATTGAGTGCTATGAGTCATCTTCCAGTTTTTGAACGTTCCTCCTTATCTGCATCAAAACCAAAAAATGTCAAGCATCCGAATCATTTTTGTGTTTCCTTTAGGTGAGATCATGTCTCCCTTAACGTTTCGCACTTAAGAGGTGACGTTTTTCAAAATAAAGCGATCCCTCAGTGCTTCTCGCAACTGCTCCATTTTTCGCACAAAATTCTCCACTTACCCTATATTAAGAAGAGAAAGTTTTTCAGCTTCAAGCTAATTCCATTAATTAAATATGACGAATTTGTTCAAGTGCTTTTAAGATTAGACTGGTAAAGACTAATTCTATCGCCGCAAATATACAGGGGCTCAAGAGCGCAAACGTCACAAGAAATTGTTGTACGTATTTATACCTACTAACAGTTTATAAGTAGCGCGCTTTATGTGGAAACGCGGAATAGCAGGCACTTACTCCCTCGGGTTTCGTTTTATCTTTCTGTTTCTCTTCTATGACCATAATGTGTAAGCCGCCAACTGCTGCTATCACAATGTGCACGGTTACGGTTAATCTCAAACTTCTTACTTACGAGCAGCCCAACAATTCGGCTTGCGAGATGTGCCATAAAAAATAGGCGATTGATCTGCTGTTTACCTCGTCAATGTCTACATTAAGCGAATCTAGTGCCGTGGGCAATTTCAGAAGTCAGTACTTATGTTGAGTCAGGTCTTAGAATACCGAAATCTATGCTAGCTTGCTCTTCCATAAGTAAAGAAACTGGCGAGGAAAACAAAGGTGGTCAACAATTCGAGGATTGCCCATTAAGGTTTCCTCATGCCTTGGTACACGATTCTTAATAGCGCCAAAACTTAAGTGCTGTGTACCCTTTGAAAGTTTCACTTTTCGGCAAAAGTAGCTGATGTAGCTCCACTCATACGCCCCTAGTCCAAGCATTTTTTCCTACAAAAACGGTGGTTATAGAGTTTTGTGGGGTGGGGAAATCGA